TGTGTGTTTTCAGATGTTAAACGTCTGATTGGTGAAAGGTTCAGTGAATCGTCCGTGCAGTCAGACCTGAAGAACATGCACTGGCCCTTCGCAGTCGTGGACGATGCCACTAAGCCAAAAATCCAGGTTGAATACAAAGGCAAAACAAAGACGTTTCACCCCGAGGAGATCATTGCCATGCTTTTGGTCAAGATGAAGCAGACAGCAGAGGCTTACCTCGGACAGGTACCCTGTCAAACTGTTCTATTTGTTTTATTTCTGGATTTTTGAGTGGATCAATTTTCACATTTAAGCAAATGCTATAATTTATGTGTAATTAACACATTAATTCAGCACCTAACTGCCTGCACACGTTGAGCGTTTCAGTTCAAGAAGCAAAAAGAACATCATATAGGGATGATTCTTGTTAATATATGTCTAGAAATCAACGTGTTTGGATACAAAAGATTATATTTTTTCACTCTGTGTTGAAAAATAAGGTCAAACTGATCAATATCCGATATATATAGACACCACTGGTGGAGAAAGCTCGTTTCTGGTCTTTGTTCACACAACTGACAACCGTTATTTTTTGTTTCGGTGGTTAGCTCGCCCCAATTTTACAGCGTTGCTAAGCACACGATTTTACACTTAAAATTGACTCCAAGTATTTCATGAAAACCGTAAGCAGCACGGGTGAAGAGTTTCTTGTTACATGTGGTTGAAGCATGATTTTCGAAAGGTCATCCTTAATTGTGTGAAGTGTGACACGGAACAAAGCCATGTCTCCTCAATTATACAAATTTTAAAAAAAGGGGGGGTGTGCATAAAGTCAGTGACTTGAAAAGTGTGTGGATGTGCGTGTGGGGAGGGGAATCACACATGTACGAGTAATCCCCGTCACTTCAATGGGGGGACCCCGGGAGAGTCACCAAAGGCAAGCAGTCAGCATGGCAAAAGACACGCTAACCTTAGATAAAAAATTTACTGAACTTAGCCAGGGAAAATCAACTGGTCGTTAAGAACCGTTAGTTTGTTGTAACTTACTGTAAGCAGGCGAACAGTTAATACTTGCACTGGTTGATGATCGAAGAGTATAAATGCTAGTTCACCACCTAATGTAAGGTGTGTTCTTTATTCTATAACCTAGGTGAGGCGAATTGTAAAATACCTTGTGTTACAATGGGTTTTCTGTAAAATGTATCAGTAATTAACAGGGAATCTTTTTAACGGACGCACTTTGTGTCAGTACAATGATTTTGTTTTGCGTTACAAAAGAACCCCGCAACAAGCTTTGTTAATGAACAATTTTCCTCTGTGCACAAAACTACCTGCATGGAGCTGGTTTCGCCCTTTTTTCGTGTTACCTGTTTTTGCGAGTAATAGGTAATGTTTTTGTGGAAAAATAGTTTTATTTTGAGGTCATCTTGCGTGCCAAAACATAACTGCTAAAAATATGTTTTAAGCTGCCACCCTGCCAACTGTGATGTAATTTGAAAGACGAATCGATGCACATATAACAGACAAGCTGCGAGCTATGTAGATTAGTCTGGTAGCAACTGTGATCATACCGCATCTATAAGCAGCCTCCTTCAACCTCGTCTACATTATTTACACAAATATGAAACTGTTTAGTCGGAAACAACGTCTTTGTAAGTCCACAAACAAAAGTCAATTCATGAACAAAATCAGCCTCTGGACAGACTTGACACTTGTAATAAGATTCTTTGTAATTGCGCTGAAAGATTTCGAATAGCGTTTTGCTACAACGAGACGTCTGCTCAGGCACAACAAAAAACTTAAATAGATGGGTTAAAAATGGATTTTTTAACGATCTCTAAATCCCTGCACCAAATAAAAAACAAAGGGTCAGCATTGGTTTCAATAAGGCAGTCTTAATAATTTAGGGGGCTACATTCTCGAGTGGTATGCAGCTGTGTGTCACTTTGTAACCGTTATTTATTACCATTATCACTATTTATTTGTGACCCTTATTTTTCTTCCAATTGGCAGACTGTCACCGATGCCGTAATCAGCGTCCCGGCCTTTTTCAGTGACTCCCAGCGCCAAGCCACCAAAGATGCCGGTGCCATTGCTGGCCTCAACGTCTTGCGTCTCATCAATGAGCCAACTGCAGCTGCCCTTGCTTATGGTCTTGATAAGAAGGTACTGATGCCCGTCAGGCTTTCAGTTATCAGCGTTGCACATTTGGAGGGAAAAAATTCAGAAAATTGACACAACGAGACTGAGTTTGGGAGGCAAAAATTGTCCCCACTGAAATTTGTCCCGACATCTGTGTATCATCATACAATAAAGTATAAATGTTTGGCCATGTTGTCACTGTCTCTCGGGACTTTTTGCCATATAAAGCCTATGTAGGCCTACTGATGTCACCCTTCTATGGAGTCAGTGGGGCTCCATGGTCCACTGAATAAAGCATAATTATGCGCAAGTATTTGTGGCATCAGCAGCGCAACTCATCCAGCAGCTGAAGATTGCATCTGTCGTGGACGTGGCCGATGCCAGTCTATAGACATTAGTAACAGATCAAGGGGAAGACAACTACTCCTATTTTTCGATTGTTCGGGCAGACTCCTTTTATAATGGTTTACCTTTTGTGCCTTGAAATGGTAAATAATATCGAAATTCCCTCTAAAACTTTAGGTTCATCTCCACTAGATGCCCTGCGCTCCTGTTATGTAGTAATTCTTTAAGGTGCAACTTAAGTTTTATCTATCTAAGAACGAAGTTCAATCTACAACACTTCAACAACAAAATGTAATGTTCATAAGATCACGACCAACTAGCCGACATCCTTAGCCCAAGAACATTTGTAAAACGTATTTCTTTCCAAAACTGTGAGGAGTTAACAAGCGAACAAACTCAAAAAAAATGAACTATCCGACTTGTCTTTAAGGCAGGTTATAGTCGTCCTAGTAGTAGGTTGATCGTCTAGTGGTTCTGCAACCGGCGACAAGATTTCCACCACATGCACTGATTAATCAGTAAACGGTGGTTCTGTCCTGGTTTCACCTACATGTATGTCATTTCCGTATGCAATCTTGGCGACGTCTATATGCGTTCATTTTTCATCCTGGTGGTGAAACACACAGGACATCTACACTCATTGATGTGTCCTGGAGACACCAAAGAGCAGCAGATGTCCTTAGCAGATTCTAAAACGACAAAATCACCCTCCGCACCTATAACATCTTTGTTGCTTATGTGACCCTTGGTATTATGTAGAGTCGTTTAAGGGAGCAGAGGATTCGACATCTCTGGTTTTGTTGATTTATTCTAGAGAATGAATGCCAGGAAAGGAAACGTTTTAAAAAAAATGTCATCTCCAATACGGTCAGCGTCCGAATGACGCCGACACGGCCCGGATTCGAAGTATCAATTGTGCGCGATATACTGGGAAAATGAATATTTATGAGGGATGAACAAAAGGATAAACATAATGAATATTAATGACTCTTCCAAAACAAATACGGGGTATAAAGTTCTACGTGATGACACATCATGCTCCTCTTTTCGTTTGGCCCTGTTTATTAGACTGTTTTCCCAACGTCAGGTCTAAGTAGATTCATGCGCGTGTAGTTCCTTCTTATCAGTACATCAGAGGGAATCTAGAGTGTTACAGGGTGAGGAGTGCTGCAATAATGGACGATGAAACCGAGCCGGCTGGGTTTCAGTGGCGCCTCATCCTTAACATCTTTGAAAAAATGTCATTTAATGCAGGATGGTACGAGGCGGATCGGACATGGCCTTTCACTGCAGGAATTCTTAGAGTCCACTGCATTCAACCTACCCAAACTGTCACTAAATAAGCAATTTTTTATTGATGGTTTCTCACTCGTTCCTTTGCAATGTTGTGGTGTTGTAGTTCAACTCTGATGACAGTTACTCATTGCACAGACGTTGCATGCTCGGTGAACCAGCGTGCTGTTAACCGAGTTCTTGATGATGGGGTGGCGAAATTCGACCACTTATGGAGATGGCGGTCAGTGTCGTTCAGTGGGTTGGGTTACTTCTTCTGTGTCGGCTACTTTGAAAGTTATGGCGTACTGCATGTATTCACCATGGGAGACAATTTTAGTTTCTGCTGTGGATAGGCGAGTGGCTAAGTTTGATTGACTGTTTCCTTTGTGAATGCTGCGTGGCAGCAAAGGTGGGGCTTGATGCCTGAGAAGATCCCGTGGGCCTAAAGATATAGCTAGGACTTGAATTCCTCGGTTTGGTCTTGCTTGGAAGTCTTACTCTTGAGGGCGTTAAACTTGAAATATTGCTTTAAATATTGCAATGGTGAGTCGTGGAACTTTAATCGTTGAAATCTTGTTTGGAGGTGGACTCACGTTGATTGTTTGCGACGTCGATGATTTCCTTGGCTAGGTGGGCTACATCAAGGGTGGACCCGGTAACGACAATACTGTGGCGATTCTCACCTTGATTCGCTGTAATATTGTCAGAACTGCAGGGATCGTCAGAGCGATCTAGGGCCTGAGGAGCATGGTTTCATTTTGGGAGCAATTTACTACCGATTTGTAGCTGACTATTAATATCTCGGAATTCACACAACAATTTGGACACAATAAAGGTCAATAGACAGTCTAATCCTTTGCAGTAACTAAGAATCTAGTAATTGCTTTAATCACACTTCAATCAGTTTTATTTACACTGAAAATTGGTTTAATTATAGTAAACTCGCTACACTGACCACAAGTAAACCGCAAGGTAAACCACTGATGGAAACCCACAAGGTAACCCACAAAGTAACCCGAAGGTGACCCACAAGGTTACCCACAAATTAACTCACCAGGTAACCCACAAGGTGACCCACGAGCGTAATCCATTGGTATAGCCCAATGTTATCAAAATGTCTGCCTCTTTATCGTACCTGTCAGCCCCAAAGTCGGTGATTTACTGATACTGAATAAACACTAACAGTTACAAAATAATAACAAGTGTTATGTACACTTTCCACTCGAACCAGGCAAGCCAAAAAGGAATTACTCTGATGTAATTTCGACCTTGAATTAACCTTAGAAATATAAAGCAATGTTCATTGACAGTTGACAATCATAAGTAATTTTCCCTAGGCTAGTAAAACGGTACCTAGCTGTCTCTTCAGCAGGCCTCCGTCGTCGAGCAGCCTCCACAGTACGACGCAACACGGTTGGAAATCTTACGACCAGTTGCCCCTGGCAAGAGAACCAACCAAGTGCATGCGGATTGTATTTCGTCTGCGCACCAGGCCGAAGCCCCACACGTGACTTAACTCTGCAAACTATTGGCTTAAAATTAATGACGTAATGTAACGGGTCACGGATACTTACACGATTAGACTTGCACATCTGTCTGTGCCGTTCGTGACAATACAATGGCGTCAGTGAGGATGTACATTATGGTATTATATGGGAGATACCTGGGCATGTTCCTATGGGAGCATGAAGCTGCATAATGACAGGGTTGAGTAGCAGAACTTCAGTTTAAATCTTTCAGTTTTGCATGTGACACTAGACTGATTCACCTGTTAGGCCGTAGTACGGCCCTATGTACCAAATAAAAGTTGAGTAACATTTAAAAATGTACACAAGCGAAAGATTCTTTGTTGTAATTGTTAGTATGGAAAACTGCATCTGTCTTGGACTTGCAGGTTAACAGTGAGAGAAATATCCTCATCTTTGACCTGGGTGGCGGCAAGCTCGACGTGTCAGTGTTGGCAATTGAAGAAGGCGTCTTTGAGGTCAAGTCAAGTCACGGAAACACCCATTTGGGGGGCGAGGACTTCGACAACCGGATGGTCAAGTGGTTTATTAAAGAATTCAAACGCAAGCATCAGAAGGACTTATCGACTGACGAGCGGGCCCTGAGGCGACTGCGCATAGGATGCGAGAGTGCCAAGAGGACCTTGTCGTCCAGCAAAAAGGTCAGGTGAGTAGATGGACATGTCCGTTTGGCTGTTTGTCTTCTTGCACAAGGAAGTCTGGAGAGAAAAAAAGGTGCTTGAAATTTAACGCCGAACAAAATATGCACTGTTGGGGGAAGGGGTGCATGATTCTCTCTGACGAATTTCATAATGTAAAATATTGCATTGAGCAATGCTGTACTTCTACATGAGGGTTGGAGCCATATGTTAATATTAATTACCTATGTATACTAACAAATTAGACCCTATTGCTAGAAATTCAATCCTAACGAAACTTTGCATTCAATGTTTTTGGTCAGTTGGTTTTTTATTTCCATTCATCCATTTAATGCACATGATGAACAGTGTAGACTGGTAGAAAGCTGTTGCTTACACTAGGCCAGGCCCCCATTATAATATACGATGGAATACAATGAGTAAATTAAACCCCCCAAAAAATTAAAGATTATTAATTCAAAACAGGTATGAAAATATACTCAGAAACTAAAAGAAATCAATCCTGATATTCATTCTTTCACTTTCTGCCTTTTTTAGCATTGAACTTGACTCACTCTTTGAAGGGATCGACTTCTACACTTCTATCACAAGATACCGTTTCGAAGAGCTGAACATAGATTTGTTCAGAAGCACCCTGGAACCAGTTGAAAAAGCCTTGGCTGACTCGAAACTTGAGAAGAGCCGCATAAATGAGATTGTGCTTGTCGGCGGCTCCACCAAAATTCCCCAAATCCGGGCGTTGTTGAAGGACTATTTCGATGGCAAATTTATCACCAAGAGCATTAACCCAGATGAGGCTGTGACCTATGGAGCAGGTAAGGCTGCTTCTGAATTACTGGCTGCGGATGGCAATAATACAGAGACTGTGTATGAGAAAAGGCTTTAGCTACAAGGTATAGTGGCTTCCATCAGCAGGAGATTTCTTTTAAAGTTGTAGCCATAATGTAGATATGGCCGAAGAGGAACATAAACGGTATGTCAGTTTACATGTGTGTTGCCTTTTCCAGAAACGTTGGTGTTATTGCCGTCTGTTTACATACATCACTTCCACTTAAAACAAATCCATCAGACCGTCACTGCACCGGATCAGGACATTTTAGAAAATCATCCATCTTGTTCTCCTAAATTCACTCCAGACATCAAAGTTTACTTCCATGATATATCAGTGCACCATAATGCCAGCGTAGTTAATCGAGACTCGAGTATTTCTCTTTACAGAGCAAAGGTTTCCATTCTGTCCCTGCGATATGCAGACAAGGTTTTTGAGCTTCCATGCATGGGTAGAATTTCCAAGCCACACCTGACTTCCTCAGTGGTTGATCTTGTTTGGTTGTTTCTTTATCTAAATTATAAGCTGTGCAGGCGGCGATTTTGCATGGGGACAAATCAGAGAAGGTTCAGGATCTGCTTCTTCTTGAAGTGGCCCCACTCTCGCTCGGAGTTGAGACTGCTGGAGGTGTCTTTACCAAACTGATCAAGAGGAGCAGCACAGTTCCGACCAAGCAAACCCAGAAGTTTACCACCTACTTGGACAACCAACCAAGTGTACTGATCCAGGTGTTTGAGGGTGAGCGATCCATGACTGCAAACAACGTAAGTGTCAATACACCTTCCAGGTACCACTGTTTTTGCACTTGTGAATTTATCTTACCAAAACCAGGCTGAAGGAGATTTGGCAATTCCATTTTTCCCTCAATTTCTCTCCTCAACATCAGATTGATCTAAACAAGGGACATTTCTGTAGAAATTTTTGACAGATCCAGACAATTAAATAATCGATTTATCAGTTCACTATATTGGAATCAGTTTGAACCCCCGTTTATAACCTTTCTGCCTTCTTTTTAAAATGTGTCACAATACGATGAATGTCGCAAGCATGGCTGCAGTCACTGGCTGCAGTCAGCGTGCACGTATGTGGAGAATTAGGTAGAACGGTCAAATACACAGGAAAAATATGCTTGAAGTAGGTTTGGTTGGACAGAAGAAAATTTGATTACTCATAGTTTCGTGCCTTTATGTACCTCGAGAAATAAGTGTTTATTATTTAACTTAAATAATAGAAAATTAAGGCAATAGTGGGTTTCATACAAAAATATAGTCATGTTATTCGTGTTGTGTTCGTACCTTAAACAGAATCTTCTGGGGAAGTTTGAGATATCTGGAATACCACCAGCTCCAAGGGGTGTCCCGAATCTTGAGGTGACCTTTGACATTGATGCCAATGGCATCTTGAATGTGTCTGCTGCTTTAATTAGCGGTGGCAGAGAAGACAGCATCACAATCACCAGCGACAAAGGTGAGGCTGGAGCAGGAGTGGAGCCGATTGACTCGTCTCTTGCCTGGATTGATTTCATTGTTAATGAGTTTTTCTGGCAAGGTTGCCTCAGAAAAGTGCCCAAGGCACTGTAGCTTAGATTAATTAAGCTTTGTACACTTTTAGAGATAGATGAAATACACCACGAGTGTTCTGGGAGAAAATTGGTCGGGTTGGGATTAGAAACACGAGCGTACGTGTCAGCCTAAGTGGGATTTGAGCCCAGGCAGAGTGCAAGGGAGAAGTAAAAAGCAGTGCACTGGCATGGCGCCTGTTGAGTGCATGATGAACAGTTCTTGAAAAGGAATTGGAAAGTAGTAATATAGGAGAATAAAGTTCGTGATCCCAGGCTTAATGTTGAATCTCTGCATTCAACACATGGGGTATTCTTCTTTGTGAGAGAGATTCTAAACGTAAAAACTGTCAATCCTCCTTGATTCTTCAAATTTGACCGAGAGGTATTTAAGAGGATCAGCTCTTAGGCTGGGTTAATTCCTTCACCAGCATCTTGTAACAGCCTTATGTACTTGCAGCTTTCCAACTGCTGAAGAAAGACTCTTTAGGGGTGGAAAATTACAACCTTCATTGCAAAATGATAAGATTGTTTTCCTTTGTGTGAAGTCAATTGGAATAATACCTGTCCTAGTACTATTTAAGATATTTTGAGTTACCCAGCTTAAGTGATGGCGGATTCCCTCCGTCTGGTTTGAAGATGAGCTCATTCTAAGGTGTTTGTATTTGCAAAGGTCGTCTATCCCAAGAGGAGATTCAGAAGCTGGCGGCTGCTGAGAAGTTCCAGGCGGAGGAGGCCTAGCACTAACGCATCACTGCCAAGAAGGACCCGGAAGGCTTTGCCTGGACAGAATTGTTCTTTGAGAAGCTTGAAGGTTACATAATTCCAATATAATACCCAATCAGTCAAGCATATCAGAGTACACTGCGTTATTTTTCCTTCGATTAACATTCCTTAGTTCGTAAAGTCAATTCTTTTCTCATCGCTTACTTCTGATTTTGGAAGGCGGGAGCTGCATGTAAAAACGTAGTGGTGCTTGTGGCCTAGTGGTTAAGGTTTGTGATCACTGTCAAAGGGTCAGATTAAAATCTGTTTATAATCAAATTAATTTAACAACCAATTAACAATTAAAACTTAATCTCGTCACATAAAGAGTCTCACTTAGTAACCACCGCTTTCTCTTTTTATGTAGTTTAAGTCCACCTGATATGCATGGTGCACATGTAGTGTAGCACCTACCTGTGATGTACTTGTAGAGTACACAGATACACGTCCCATGGGAGTAAAGCCCCAGCTTTCAAGCCATGCTCTTTATTTACCAGACTTTGATATTTGTAGAGAGTAGTCTCATGAATGGAATTCAGTGTGAGCCAAGAGGTAATACATGCAGGGACTGTTTTGTAGATAAACAGCGCCTGTGGGGACGAGCTTAATATTTTTTTATATTTTTACTCTTTGACAGGTCTGTAATATTCACACGTAGTTTACAATATTGAAAACCACTTTTTGATGTTATCATTCTGCATGTAAATGCGTTGGGTCTGGTGGTGATTGGCTTTTTGGTTATTAAATTAACTAGAGTAATGACTCGAGATTGATTAAAACTCACTATACAAACATACAAACACTATACAAATAACATTTTGTCACTGGCTATTTAATCCCAAGAGAGGAAAACAAGTTGGTTAAACCAATGCTTCTATTTTCCTGAAAAGTGTCTCCTAATACTCTATAGTGTTTATCTTATTGGTGGACACTTGAGTCTCGTAAAATTAAATAATGATTCATATATACTTAGCTTAACCATTCTTATAGGTTGGAAGATCGTCACATAGCCAGTCTTATAAATGGTTAACAAATATTTGGCCGGCTGAGCTTGAGCATTTTTCCTGAGTCGCCTGAAATTTAGACTCCTGTGAATTCTAGTCCCTCCTTTGTGTAGGTTGAAAATTCTCAGAATTCACTTATTTTTGCACACATAAATTATGGTTTAATAATAATTTCATTTAAATTTATGTGATGGAAATTGGCCAACTCGGGCAAAAACGTCTGCCTTTTGTCTGTGCCCCCCTCCCCATATTTCAGTAAGCTGCTTTGCTACTTTCATTCAGTCTGGATGAATATTATATTGCCATTCTTTTCAAGTGTTTCAAATGTACATGAAGGACTTCATTCAAAAGCACTTTCTTATTCTCTTTTCTGAAAGGCCTCGGACAAAACACACACGAAAAACCTCACCAGTGATGAGAGGGTACGTACTGTGATGTTGCACAAACATCTCCAGAAAAAATATTGTTTTCTTGGTGGATATCAGAATGAACTTAGCAATGTAAACCTATGTGACCTGTCTCAGTTGTCACAGCTATTGTAAAGGCAAAACCTCTTCCCACACTTGATTCTGGCTATATAGTGTTAACGATGTTACCCAACATGGTAAGTCCAGTTATTCACACTAATTCAGCATGTTTAGGTTTCACCATATGCACTGCTAACGAAGCTACCTTTAAGCCATTCTTCGCTTCATTTAAAACTTTGGCATTTTGCAAAGAAATTGGATGTCTGGAGTTGTGATAAAATTGTGATAAAATTTTGCAAAGAAATTGGATGTCTGGAGTTGTGATAAAATTGGTAGGAAAACGTCCGCAGTAACAGCATCAGCTGGAAGTCCTAAGGATTCTTAGCACAGAAACACACAGGGGAGAAAAATTTTGGAACATGGGGCTTCTCTCTGTCTGCCAATATGCACTGCCCAAAAAGCCAAGAAGGTATGGGTTACACTTTACGGAATGGCCTGAAGAGAATAGAACCTGTCAACTGTGTCTCATCAATGTGTCACTTTTGCACCCTTATCACACGTTTCTCTTTGCACATACTGCAAAAATACACAGAGTTTGTCCCAGCTGTTTGTACAAAAGTTTTGTTGGAGATTACGCTGTGTGTTTTAATGAAAATTCAATGAAATACTCTGAATTTTAGGAATTTTACAATTAAATTCCACATGCTCTAACCAAATGTAAGTAAATACGTACCGTTATTGGATGTCACATATCAAGCTCGAACAAATCGTATTAGAAAGTGAAGTGTTGGTATTTGTGTAATTTGGATGGACGGGATGAGTGTTAGAATGAAATTTGACAAAACGATTGAAGAAACAAAATATATAGATATTGAAGGGGGGTATATTTCGGAGTAAAAGGGCAAATCTGAGAGGAAAAAAGGCACGTTTTAAAAAAAGTAGGCCTATCACCGACAATAAAATCCATCTTGTTATATGGTTAAAGACATATATTCTAATGTACTTCAACAATTAAGTAAATTGAATAATTTATAAACCTTGTCAAGACAAGTATTTTTTAACTGAGGAAAGACTGCTGATTTTGATTATGGCAGGCATGACACTCAGTCAAATCTACGAGAAAAAATCAACGGGTCATAAAGTCACTTTGGGGTATTTGGCACAAAACCCACCGTTTTCACATACTGTACAATTTCAAAAAAAATATATACAATTTTTGTAGTAGGAAATCATCCTGTTCCCCTTCTAACAACTCGACATTTTTGTGACTTTCATAAACATAGGCATAAATAGGCATATTTTTAGTGTATACGATCACTTCCAGATGGTCACTAAATAGATTGGGCATGAAACATCTGATCGAAACCTGAAAAATGAAGCTTAAACAACATTTAAAATATCATTAAATAGAGAAAATGTGACTACATAGGATAACTTCAATTCCACAGAAAGGAAATTGTTGACAATGCAGAACTAGGTCCACCTTACGAAACCTGGAAAACGCAGTTCAGTGTATAGATCGTTGAGATCAGTCGCCTGTCCTCTTCTGGAAAAGTCCATGTATCTCCTTCAAGTTAAAATGCTTTGCAATTTAGTTAAATTATTAAGTCTAATATAATCCTGCTTCAATAGCCTACAGAAATCAACAAAGCGATCCGCAGTGGGAAGGGTCATTACTGCTTCAACAAAGGAACAGGCGCTTGGATATTACAAAAAAATATTTTCGAGTTAACTACAAAGAAATTTTTCCTATTCAAAATTGCAACATATCGTCTGCAAAAACTTTCTGGGGTAAGAAAAAACTCAATAAGTGTAATATCCCAGCTATCGAAGGACCTAATAATGCCAAGTTTTTGAAAAGTAACTTTGTTCCCTTCCGTCTTGGACTTCACCTTTTAACTCGGCTATTTTGGGGACTTCGGACACCATGGTCGTATTATTGTATTACTTTCCCTCGGTGTATCACAAATACTGCGTGTGCATTTTCTGCTCTTATTGCACTTCGTTTCCAGAGCCTTGCATGACAAGAATAAACTCAGTGTTCCTCCGACTCAAATATTGTGTGTTTCCTTTGACCACTTCATTACAGAAAGGTATATATTTATTTTGTTGATTGCTAAGTGAAGCGCTTATAAGTGTTGTTTGTGGTTCCCCTTATATCCACCTATTCTGCCATTATAGTGTGAGGTTATAGATGGGACTTGGAAATTGCAATTCGTAGCGGCCATGTTGACAGTCTCTCTGTAGCCCCGTCCGTTTCGCACCAGTGTGCACCAGCTATTTACTTTATTTGTTAACAGAAAATATAATGGGTCGTCCTACCTTCTCTGCGACTCGGAATGCTATTCATGGTATTCAATAGTGTCTCGGCGCTTTGTCTGAGATTTTTCGTCATGCGAGTGAATGCGCATAGCTCAGATATATCGAGTAATTAGCAAACACATCTTTTTAAACCTACCTCCAGCCAAAAATAAAATAGGAACATTCGATACCCACCTTTGACGTGTTCCACCTTTTTGCTCCCTTGAATAAGTCTGAATAAAAGAGAAGCGTGGGAAAGTGCTTACAAGTGAAGAAGGGAAAGTTGCTTTGCTCGAGTTTGGCTAAGACTGACCAACAACATGTTGACCATCACTGGAAAGCTGAAGGTCATAACAAAAAAGGTGCGCTTTTCATCACAAAGAGTGATCATGAGATCGAGACCTCATAAAATACACTTTTGTTTAAATGGCATGATAAATGTGACTCAACTGAAACAAAATCTTGTAATTTACAACTTCACCATTTATTCCCAAAATAACTCCAGAAGAAAGCATTCGATGAGGGCAATAACTGCACACGAACATTTTGTGCACAAGACCTAACATAAAGAACTGCGCCACCAGCCACCATTCTCATTTGGGCAAAGGCCACATCGGCCCCTGATTCGTCATCAGCGCATAAAAACGAGTCACTCACGAAAGTGCGTAGCTTTCGGCCGCATGGCATTGCATGTATCGCTTTTTAATAACGTTGATGTTCCTCAAACTGGGGAAGCGATGCATAACACAGTCCTTAGTGCTGTCTGTTTGATTAACTACACACTCCATGAGTTCAGGCTAGGCACCCGTTAATTTCTGTGTTTTGAACGTAAGTTGAGGGAATCGTGGGGCCGAGGAGGTCGTGGGTCGAGGGGGTTTTACAACAACCCGTCAGAAAGCGGTAGGTGGCTTGATGTCATAGCCCGGGAAGTTCAAACTCCTTCTAAGTCGTTAATAGGAGCGCCATAGCTGAATGCGATTTGGTAAATTCTCCTTGGAGACTTTCCTCAGTTTGTTTATTTGAAAAATTTGCGGAATTGGTGATTAATGACTAAATGTAGTTGAATGGCAGCATGACACTTAGCATTTGTAAAAAAAAGTGTGATTGAAGTGAGCTGCTTTGTGTTCAGAATACCCCTTTGTTATATGCACATCGTTTCCGTTATTTTTCACCTTACTTAGCGCCCAATTTTTACACTTTTGTCGAATACCCTCAGAACATCCTGTTTGGAAGACTGATGAATCGTTTGAATCTATTACCTTATTTCTTCAAGATTGAGAGCCATTTGTTTTAAACGCGGTGCATTTCTCGTGTGGATTCAAATTTCCGAACTGAGTCTGACAGCGGTCAAAAATGAGATGTCCAAAAGTGGAGCATGGCACAAACGTACACTCACTCATATCTGATAAATGCGAGTGAGTTTGGTGATAAATGCAAGTGAGTTTGGTGATAAATGCGAGTGAGTTTGGTTACGAGTTGACTTTTAATGCAAAGCACTATACGTAAAATGACGTCAAATTTCGCTACTGACAGGCACAAACTGAAACCTTTCCGTTCTCATTCAACGGTTTCATTTTGCATGACAATTAGGGTGTTTATGATATTCCTCACCATTCAAAAGTAGAGACATGTCAGGGACAGCTCGGCCAAACTGAAAAAATACCCTCTAAAATGTTGGCATCCCTTTCACTTGTTGACTCTTTTGGTACGTTACTTGGAGGTACGTGATAAGAACGGGCATACTTTGGCAGAAGTGGATATGTATCGGGTGCAAGTTAACAAAAGAGACTATGAGTCTTTAAATTAATCAATTTGGAAATAAAGGGAAACAACTATATCGTGATATTGTTCGAGTAGTGTTCAGGTCAACGTGATGAGTCAAGGGTCACATTCTACTGGCTTCTGGTGTTGGTGTAATTCACTGCACAGCGCACAAACTCTAAGTGAGTGGTTCAAACATACGTGGGGGTGAATTGCAGCTTGCCGTGAATGGCTGAAGCAAAGTACATGTAATGAATGTTATATAGCCACTGAGAGGGGATATAACACGTAACAAATGCACCGAGGCTCCAATGGCGTCAGTTACATGTGTCTGATGAGAGTGGGGAAGGGTATGGAGAAAACAATCCTCACATTTCCAGGCTGTGGAATTAGGGCATGGACAAGACATAATTATTACAATGTGGAGCTGCAGACACCACAGGCAGACATCTTTTTTAAGTTCCTAACCAAGTCCTTTAGCTTTAAGTAAAATTCAGACAAGTGACCCTGTGTAGTTTTGTGTTCTTTATTTTTGGTGTTGGAAAGTTCTAAAGAAAAATTACAATACGTAATTTTTGCTAACCATCAAAATTGGGATTCACCCTCCTGAGAACAACCAACAAAGGGTACTGAAATACTATCAGACACGCCTGGACGGGTTGGCCTCCGTGGATGGGAGGAATGAACACTTAGATGTCGTTTTGTGGCCACGTCAGATCAGAGTAAATTCTGTAATTTATGGTGGCCCTGACCGGTCGTCAATAGGTGAATTCGCATCACGTTATTTCAGACACACAGCTTCTTGGTAGCCTGGAACTCTGTACAGAATAGGAACTGATGAAGAAAGGAAAACAATGAAACGCGGGTTATCAATCTTACCGTCTATGTGTGAGCCTACAAGCCGTGAGTAACAAACCAGACCACATTGAATAAGCAAGGTGTATCGCACCCAGCGCTGCACAGTGGTCGTGTACTGCTGTTTGACTACCACTCCTCCTACCAGAATGGCGCGCCTTAGCCTCCTCCTAGTGGTGGTACTGATGAGCCACGCTGTTATGATTTTGGCGCGGGTAGAAAGATTGGTAAGCTTTTAAAGTACATATATAGCTTGAGTTTGTAAATATCTGTACCCAGTTTGGACTACAATAAATTGAAATGGTCTGAATTTTTACACAGCACTTTCTGGTACACTCCAAGCCAGAGACTTGTGATCAGCATTGTGTATTTTGTTAGCCATTAAAGTACGTGCAGGCCTAAAACTTGCAACCATGTCTACCATGCTAAGATACGGTCCTTTGGCAAGCTGTGTTTGCTGTTTCCACATGTCCATGTTTTCTGCCCTGTCCTTGGCAAAACAGTACTACTCCAGGTTGAATTATGAAATTCGGCATTTTGACCCTACACAGAGTATGAACACGTGATCAGATTAATGTGATGGTTAAGAATGAGGGTTGTACTTCATTTCCATTTGGGGCAAAACGTAGAGCATATTTACAATCACTGACAAATTACCCATGGCTGGGCAAAATTAAACACAGGTACTGATGACAAAATCATCAATTCAAACCACTTTTTAATTAAAAAATGGCCGATCTGGTTGTAATGAATGATGCGTAACTCTTTGTTACACATTACTGGTCAACATTATATGGCATTTCATTGGCGTTAAGACACAGATTTCCCGAGTCCAGGCATCTTATTAACGTGCGCAGAGCCGCACGCATGCGCGTCGCACCGCCAGATGGTATGCCAGAATCATTTGGAAATGAACAGTCTTTTATCTAGAGCCCTTGCTGGTTTGCCTTACAGGAAAAAAATATAGAACCGAATTGCATCCCCTATGATAAAATGATGCAGATGTCATATTTACATAGAACATTATTGCATGGTAAACTGCATACAATACGTTTGAAATATCCCTGACAGATATGGAGTACTTACATACGAGCTGAAAATATAAACCTTAAAGTTTTTGTCCTTTCGTAAAAGACTTATTTACTCCTCACATTTAGGGCAAAGATTTAATAGCTTGCGAGTCTTAGCTCTGCTTAGCTCTGCTTTTAATTGGGATCAGCCATCTTCCTATTTTGCATATAAATGTACTCCAGGATGAAGAGGATCGTCATCTCTTGAAACTACTAAGGCGCTTGGAAGGCCGTCAAATAGAGGAGTCCACAAGTGAGTCGCCGTGTACGTATAAACAATAACTGAAATGGCTGGACAGATTGGTAGGAGACGCTATTGAACGTTGATGTGATATTGTTCGTACGTGTTTGATACAAGCTTAATGATTTACGATTCACAAATTATGTTGAATTTCAGTTGATGTGCGTCTTCTTCAAGTGACGCAAACAGGTTTGGTTCTCGGATCTGAAAAATTCATGTGCGTATGTATTGTACCTGTAAGCATTTCTTTGGTATTCAATGTACCCGTTTTTGTTGCAGGTCAATAGATCTAGAATTATTTACGTCGCCTAATTGATCATTCACTGGGACTCGTGTGTGAGATTTGTGATTTGCCGACGGAAGTTCGCAGCAATAAAGATGTTGGTATCTTAAGACTAATTGTAAAAGTTTGCTTTCAGACAGACGAACATAATCCATACATTTACACTGGGTTCGGCCATTGAAAAGAACGACGTCTGAAACAGAGTCACTCTTTTGTCGTTTTGGGCGAATCCAAGTCCCTGCCAGCAAGCTTTGTCACCCCTAATCGTTCATAGTTTAGTTCAGAGTGAGTTTGGGCATGCAACGCCAGTCTAAAAACATTGGTCAAGCACGCAGTGAACGCTGTCGTTTGGCTATATTTGTATGGCAAACAGTTTCTCTGCCAAAAGTATGATGAGCTAGATCGACCACACCCAGAATCTCATGGAAAAAAATAGTTTGACTGTATAATTGAAGTTTTTAATAATCAAGCAATTTGGTTATTGTTTGCCACTTCTGCCATGTAGCATCGACCGGTGAGAGGGAAATAAACCTTACAAACCGTCGTGATGTAAATGTGGATCAGAGTTCTGCCCTTCGGGGTTGGCGGTCATATCAAGTTGCTTTGAAAGCAGTTGATGGACGGTACAACGACACCAATTTTCTCGGCGAAGATGGAGAGGAGTATGGTGGAAGCTGCACTGTAACGAGTAAGCCGAGTGTCATTTTTGATATGTCTGTTCTGTGGGCAGTCAGGGCGTGGAGTGGGTGACACGCCTCTCCACTTGAAGACCATACCCCTGTGTGCCAAGCCCTATTTGAGATTTAAAATGGTGTTACACAACCTGTGTTTCAAAGGTTTTTGGCAATGGCGTAGTATTTTAACAAAACCATGCGCAATACGTTTGATTGAGTCGTAACTTACCGTAATTATGTAAGAATGCGGAGAGTTTGTAAATGCATGTCAAGTCTCAAGAAATCAAGCCAGGCACGGCCGAGATCTAGGGGGCCTATGTCTCCAGCTGTAAAATGTACCGAAATTCCCCTTCTCCTTTAGAGTTAAACAAAACAAACCTTTCTCGTAAAACAAAGTCCATGCACTAAAACCGCCAAATTGAATTTTACAGTCTCTCATAAGAACCCTGAAAACAAAACATAATCATTGACCGTACAACGATTCCTTCTATGTCTATACGATTAATGGAAAATATGGGGTAGCACTTGATAGAACAAGTAAACGTAAGATACTAATAAGCTTTTGCAGCAATAACTACTTCATCAGATGCAATGAAGGGGAACAGCTAGGGTGGAAGTTGTCTCTGTCATTAAATTAAACAATATTGGGTGATGACTCAAGGGATTATTCCTAGGAAGCCACTGTGTCTATGAGCCTTGAGCTTGACCAAAAGAGGGCGCACTTCTCCTTGATACCCCGACTGCGCTTGGGGCACTAACTACGTTTCGCTGGTTAACGAAGACGTTTCATCACTGATTTATTGCACGGTATACCAGGTAATGCAAAGGGACTGTTCCCGAAAGGTTTTTGCACGCAAGAGCTTCTGGTAGAAGTGGGGCAGAAACTAGACTCTTGAATACTTAGCTGAGTTTCGGAGGAGCTGAAAACTTTTGACGATTGAGACAGGACGTAAATAAACATGGAGCGAGAACTGTATTGCAGATTTTGTGAAATAAAATATGAAAACAACAAAGTGGAGGAAGTGTGGAAGAGAAATTTGCCATCCGAATCAAAACACGTTTTCAATGTCACAGAATTTGTGCAAGAGGGGAGCCCACAACAAATGGCAGACTGATACCACACTCAACAGCACAGGATTTCAAGCTTTCCTTATGAGGTGGTGTTGTCAGTAAGTCCTATCGGAGGCTGAAAAGAAGCAGACGTGCATGCTTTCAGGCTGGGTTTAATTTATTTTTTAGAAAAGGCAAGGTAAAAATACCAGTCATTAATTATTAAATATAACTTATCAATAAAAACTATTGACAGGTAAACACAACCTTTATTGTGTTACTTTTTGCTCTTTACATTTCCAGCGAAGTTCAAAAACTAAAAAATTACAATAATTAAAATGCAAACAAATTCACACACATCCATTATACGTAAGTCTTTTCGCATACTGGTACTAATAAACATTAAGTATGTGTTTATGATCTTCATAAAAATATAAATTAATCTTATTTTAGATTCATAAATACATCGAAAAGTTACATGAATAAAACAAACCACACTTGCTCACAATGCAATATGAAAACATATCAGTAGAGCATGTCACAAATGTTGGTGTATTGATCACCGACAGACAATGAACTAAATTAAATTGAACTTAAATGTCCTTATTCTTTCAAATATTCAGAGACTATAAACTGGCAAATTAAAAATGAAATGTTCCATATGTCAACTTTGACGAGCAAGGACAAATAGGCTGAAGAAATTCACATGCTTACTATACACAAACTCAGGTAACAATGTGTGTCAGAGGAGTTAATTAAAGTAGGCATTCTGATTGTGTGGTCTCCCAAATAATCGGTCACCGTAAATGTGCCATTCAATCCTATTTTCATCCAGACATCAATTTCTAAGAATTTCTATTTGAATATTTTCTCCCTTAATTATTGACGGAGGTTTCTCCTTAAGGGACCGCATCATAATGTCAAGTACTTTTCATTGTCGTTGTTAAATCTGCAGAGAATACATAGATGTAAGTGATAACGCATTCATTTATTAGGGGTGCATTCTTGATGCAATAACTTTGAATTTTAGACAGAAAAATATCTCCGTTTGAAAATAATGTTTGACAATGCTGATTACAAAACTCACTGCATAAGAAACAGCAGCATACAATTCTCTAGACTCATACCCCTTGACTTTGTTGGAAGCAGTGAGAGGAGGAGAAACACACAGTTATTATCTCGCCACGGCGAGATAATAACTCATTTTTTTAAGTGGCCCTTATACGCTTCCGTAATGAGTTTTTTAAAAGTAAGAGTATTTGTTGTCTATTTTGAATTTAGAATCTGAGGAAAATCCTAGATGGATTGCTGCATTTAGAGAAGAATTGTGCATCAGCAAAGTCAGCATTTTGAACATTGGCGATGGCTTCAGTAAGTTACTATTGACTACACAGGGTTGGTAAATATTATTTGGGGCAGAGGCCATACTGCATCAGGGTTCTAGTAGATTGCTTCATAAGGCAGAAATATCAACCCTGCATATGTAATTGTGGTAGTGCAAAGCCCATAGACCTCTGGGAAAAGCAGGTTGCTGGAATAAGAGAGGTGGCAATATTCCTACAAAGAGAGTGTCCTTGGTGGACACTGCGCTTCGCTGCTTAGGGAAACATGAGATGCACGTGTTGCGTCGAGTTGCTACCAACAAAATGAACAGTCCCCGCCACCGAGGCTCTTTCCAATTGATGAAGGTTGGCTTCTGCTAAAGGCAGATTAACTGTCCAGGTTTCTTTGAATGAGACTCGAGCAGGGCCAAGAGAGGGCGCAATTTTCCTAAAAGGTAGTACCAGACAGTGCAGAGGTCCCTAGACCTATGGGGAAAGCACGCTGCTGGAACAAGAGAGGGGGCAGTTTTCCTACCTCGAGAGGCTCCTTCGTTGGGAATCACTGATCTGTGTACATTGGATAGGCAGCTCAGTAGTAACTGCCTATGACTGTGTGAATTAAAGGGACCACGTGGCCATCCTAAGATATTCGGTACTGCTTCCAACTTCAGTCCATTAACTTAGTGCATTCATGCACGGCGCTAAAGTCGGTGACTTGGAAATTGCCTTTGTATTAAAAAGACTACGATGGCCACGCAGTCGCTTAAAATCGCGGAGCAGAGCTGGAAACTGAACTTCGTTAGTAACCCAAACAACTGTAACATGCATGCGCTGTGGTTCACCAGCTACTGACGTCACTTCTAGAGGCCTCTTCATTCTACGCAATTTTTCCTTTCTTGAAAAGGAAAATCCAACGTTTTCCTTCAATGACAACCTCCTGTAGAGTGCATTTTTGTCTAAAGTGAACGCAGTTTGAAGCTCCCTTTTCACGGAGGAGCATAAAGGTGATGCTTACAAATACTGGAAAAATAAATCCCAAAAAGGAAACCAATTCATAGGTCAATTCCATAGGTTTACTCTCCGGTGAGACTTTTGCCACTTTGTGAAAATTGTGACGAAATATCAACAGGGTCGTTTCGCCCGGCTTTCTACTATGAAGGTAATTGCTCTGATTCAGTGGACGCGGTCAGCTGATTAGTCACCGCTTTCGGAATTGTCAGCTGACAATATGTATTATCCACTGATCCTTTAGAACGTTTGGCCAATTAAAAAAATATCTGTTAAGGGTGCAAAGTCGATGCCTCGATTCAAAACGTGTTAGTTGTTGCAGGCTGCTACCTGCACATTTATTTTGGACGAGTCAGTGTTCCCGACTTTGAAACCGTTACTTTGCTAAACTTCAGATGTTAAACTTTCCAACGTTTTAACCTGAAGGTGAGAGGTTGACAGGTGCAGTGATTCGGTTTGGCTACTATCCATATTTCAAATTGGACAAGGACACCGCCTGTGGATCACCAGTGACCGCTGATGAAGCTGCAGTGCCTGGAGGGACGGTTGAAGTTGAATGCAGTGAACCAATCGGGGGCAGGAATCTCGTGATTGGTATCCCGGCCGACAATGCTACTTTGCAGTTGTGTGAAGTTCGAGTTTGGGCGATACCAATGGACCAGTGTCCTGATGGTAAGTTTTTACAAGTCACTCCTACTATGGGCAATTTTTGCATTTCATCTCCGTCATAACTTAGCTAATACGATTCAAAGTCCTGCACCTTCGCGGCCATTGAGATAAAAATGCCAATCCTTGCGGAAAAAGTACACCTTGAGAAAAAGTATAGAGTCATAGAATAAGAGGTAAAGGGGCCATTACAGAGTTTTGGGACCAACACACCCACTTACTGGTCTTCAACTTGATATCTGACTTCTGAGAGAGGAATTTGGCCACAACCTGCCTTTGAACAGGATGATCTTTTGATAATGACTTCTAATTCTTGTTACCTGATTATTTAAACTCCCATTTGTGATTGCTGCTGTAATCTATCATTCCATCTGGAAAACTAAAAAAAAACTAAGGCGCTGTTACGTGTAGTGGGAAATAACATAGACCTGAAAGTCACTTCATTCTGATAATGCGCATTCACGCTCTATCATTTAGGAAAAAAGGCCGTTTGGAAGTGACTTGTCGCAGAAGAACTAGTTTTTTCTATAGGTAACAGGCTTAGAATTCTTGTATAACTTCACTAGAACGTTAAAAAAGACTTCTCTGCCAGAAGATAAGCTTAGCATGCAAAACAAAGTTATACAAATTTGGTACAATCAGATTGTAGATGGAAGAAAAATAACAAATCTTTCACACAAAATAATTACATAAAATCAAATCAAAATGTTTTTGATATTGACCTGAAGGAAGATGTCGAAGTAAATAACAAATTAAAATGATTACCAGGTGTAATGACAGCAAAGGAGGAAGCCTTTCAGTACATTTATTAGCATAAAATAGTCATGCTATTTGTGTCATTTGGGCATATACTAATAAATATTCATCATGTAGCGTTCTAAAGTAAAACCAATCTTTCTTTTTACTACTATGCTAGTTGACCCTTTTGGTTTTATACTTCCTGTATCTATTGATAGAAATAAAGGCCGAGACGGAATTAGATCTTACTGACTTTTTAGTGGATCAGTCTTCTGCTGTAAGAACTGGGAAGTATTGGGATGCTCATGAAAAGGTTATAGATGGTCAATACAATAATAGCAATCTTCTCGGTGAAGGAGGAGAAATCTACGGTGGAAGCTGCACGATAACACGTAAGCTGTAATCTTCATACTGTTTTATTAAAAAACACAGTGAAGGTCAAATGGTTAATCTTTGCCAAAGATAAATGTGACGACCTGTTAGTTAAATGTTACGAAAATTTTTCAGTACGCATTATATCATTACAAACTGACCTTCAACATGAAAAAACTAATCTTTCTGAGAACGCGTGCAAGTCAGAAGGAGTATTATGGAATTTAAATGGGGTAGGTCTATCGTGTAAAGTATAACGCCTAGTGCGAAAAAAAATTCAGCTTGTAATTATGCCTCACTTTCTGTACGGGTGATTAATAATTAGTAATTATTAATAGATACAACTTTAATTAAATTACACTTTCTGGTCGTTTATTTCATAATAGGAGCTCAGAAAGATCCTTACTGGGGAATGATTTCTCACAAGGATTACTGCATCAGCAAGGTCTGGATTTTAAATCGTGGAGACGGATACAGTAAGTTACTACAGATAAACCATATATCATTTGGGTCAGAAGTAAACACGTAAGGAATGATTATTGAATGTTTATTCAATAACGTTCAACATGTTTGAAGGTTTATAAAGGACTCTCTGTAAATCAAGTTTTCGTTGATCGGGTCTTTTGCGGATGCAATTTTTAGGCTGGTTCTTTGTGAATGTATTTCACTCTTATCTCTCTTGGTAGACTTTTACTTTTAGTATTAACATTGTCCTAACTCTGCATTGAAGAAACAAATGAGGATTATATCCTGTGAAAGTAACTTCAAGGCCTGCTGAATTTGCCTAAAGGTGATATTAAAACAATTATCTGTTCGCCTGTCTGTCCTGCCTGCCGATTTGTTTTGGGGTTTTTTAACTTTTATGCATTGCTTTCAACAGCTCTATACACGATAGCGTGTAGACCGAACGTTGATGTCGTGTCCGAAAAATCTATCTTCTATGTAGGTTCTGTGTTTGCCAGCTGAGACATTACACGCAGAACAAGTGCTACCCTCAGGTTTCCAGGGTAGATTATTTTAAGGAGAATTTTAAGGAAATGCTTGAACATTGGTTTGGTAACCATTGATATCAAAATTTTGGAATGTGCTTTTTTACCACTTTTGTTATAGCTTGAATTGTTCATAAGTTGAGAACATTTGAAAGTCAATATCACCAGGCAGCTGCTGTAGACTTTTGTCAGCTGTAGGGGGTGAGTACTGGAAAACCTCTTCGTTTTTAATTTTCCAATTTTTATAGGTGAAAGACTGACTGGTGCAGTTGTCAGGATTGGCACAGAAAGGACAGCTAACCTGAACAATAACACTGCTTGTGGATCGCCAGTGACCGCTGAACAAGCCGCAGTGCCTGGAGGGACAATTGAATTTAAATGCAGCCAGCCAATCAAGGGCAATATTTTCATCATTGGTATTCCGGCTGATAACGCTACTTTACAGCTGTGCGAGTTGCGAGTTTGGGCCGTTCCTATGAAGCAGTGTTTTCCAGGTGTGCTTTGACGTGGGTTGTTTTAGGAAAGTCATTGGAGAACAAAGCAGCGTGCAAGTCGGTGTACGACTGTGCCACAGGGCAGACCTCACCCGTATGTGGTTTTGTTCCCGAATGACCTCGACGCACTTCATTTGGGCTTGCATGTACCTTTAAACACTTAAAATGTTCATTGACAGTTTTCCTCAACTATATGGTTTTTATAGCTGTAATTGTGGTTGACAGACTGACTTCCTGTCAGCAATGCTTGATTGCCTATTAAGAGCCTACATTTTCCATTTTTGTATACAGTATAAACATTTAATTTTTCAAAAGTCTCTTTTTTCGTTTAAATTCAGATTTTGATGAGTGCAGCAGTGATCCTTGCCAGAATGGTGCTACATGTGTGGATGGTATCAATGAATTTTCCTGCACATGTGCTGCTGGTTTCACTGGACCTCTCTGTGAAGATGGTATTAAAGTGGAATTTATTTCAGTTTTATAGGATCGTACTTGTAAAGACTCTGGGCAGTTTGTTTGCCCAACGTGGGTTAGTGTGTGAATCGCTCCATTTAACTGTTGGGCACAAAGTGCATAACATTGGGTCAAAAGTGCCATTACAAATGACACTTCAACAGCTGTTGAGAAAAAGGAGATAAGTTTACCAATATATCAAAAGAAAATCAACGTGGTCGAGTAATTTGTTTTCCCAACATGTTTCCAATTAATTTCATACCAACGCTGGGAAAAAACTTAAATTCTTTAAGTAAATCCCTTTGTACTCCAACTTCGTGAATTTCCCGCTAAATTCACCATTTCAATTATCATTTCAGTGATTTCTGTGTTCGTCGAGAGACTTCAGTGGAATCAATCAACAGTCCTTTTTAGAACGTTGTCTCATTAGTGGTGTAGACAGTTCCACCGTTGAATATTCTCCTAAGATGAGATGCTTTCATCCAGATATATCAATTAAAGGCCCGATGTTCTCTCATATTTTTGCATTGGTGTGCTCAGATATTGATGGGTGTAGCAGTGATCCTTGTCAGAATGGGGCTACATGCGTGGATGGTATCAATGAATATAAGTGCACGTGTCCTGCCGGTTTCACTGGACCTCTCTGCCAACATGGTGGGTAAAATCTGCAATGATATCAGATTTCAAGTAATTGTGTGTGTTTAAAAAGACTTTCTTGAGGCGTTTTTTATTTTCCACGATTTAATTCTTCTTCGCTACATTCCATTTATCAAACCATATTGAAGGATGATTGAGCATAATGTGGAATTATACCTAACATCTTACACCTGCATCCAAACCTTTCAAAGAATTTTTTTCAAGAGCTACATTTTTACATCGGTGTACTTAGATATTGAAGAGTGTGGTAGCAGTCCGTGTCAGAACGGTGCTACATGTGTGGATAATATCGACGGATTTACCTGCGCATGTGCTATTGGTTTCACTGGACCTCTGTGAAGATATTGAGTGGAATTTATTATAAGGAACTATACATGTACCCTGAATATAAATAAATGAACAGGCACCGATATATTTCTACAGACAAGCAGACAGAAATCCATACATTGAAACTGGATCCCAAAATGGAAGCCTATTATAAGTTCGTCAATTATAACGAATATAATTCAATCTCACCCCTGAATGATTACCGAGCTTTGAAGATGAATTATTTTGGAGATGATAACATATTATTCCATCTGAGGTGAGTTATGTTGTTCATTTTTTTCATGTGAAGATCCATTGGGTACATGTTCAGATTGAATCGCCTAAACAGCAGTCAGTGAGGAAATCAAGGGTTTTAATTCGTGGATTTATCGACGTACCTATTCAAAACCAACACACTACACTTTTATTCCAGGTGGCTTGTGGCATGACACAACGCAGCTGAGGGGTAAAGCGAAATGGTATCCATGGGAATACTGCCTTATGGGCTCATTGCGCCTGCCTAAATGCTCATTAATATATAGTTGCTATCGGGGTAATTTCCCATGACACTAGTAAGGATGATACATTCATCGTTCCTATTGTCAGGTATTAATCCGTCACTAGGTCGTAGGTTCATCGTCATCAGAAGGGGTAAAATGTCTGAGGTATCAACAACTATAAAAAGGTTTTCACTTATGGATGGTCCTTTTCCCACGTAAGCTTTTTAGGCCTACTCTATAGAGTACCAAAGTGATATGTCACGTTTATATAAAAGTGTCTAAGCAGGAGAACCAACGAGTGAACCAACACATGCGCGTATTCTATTCAGATGAAATGTACTGCCTGGATTAAAGAGACGTCACACTTCGGTTACACGTGTAGGGTTAAAAAGAATAAGCTGCCTCATTCTTATGGAAGGTTACCCCCTAGCCCCCATCAAACATTGCAAACATGTTATTCTGCCAGCTGTCACATCGATAACTCTTTCTAGCACCTCTTCATTCCCCTCGTATTCATTGTAGATATCGATGAATGTCACAGCAATCCTTGTCTTAATGAAGGTGTTTGCGTTAACAAAGTAAACAGTTTCAGCTGTAAATGTCCTCCCGGCTATAATGGCACCTTATGCGAAACTGGTAGGTCTGACTAGCTATCAGGTATACCTGGCTTGTTTTCATTATAACGCTATTGTAATAAAAACAAATCCTTTGAAGGACCAGGAAAACACACAAGATGGGCAAAGACTTATAATTCGTTAACTAACTAGGATACACATCAAGGTGGTCATGAAGTGCTCACGTAACTCCATCTGTATGCTGTTGATTGTTTCCATAGTTTTTATGTGGGTTCCAACTTCTACTCGCACTGCCAAACGCATTCAAAAACATTTCATTCGCATTATGTGTTTCGCTAAAGTTGGCTAAAAGCATTGTACATAGTAAACCTCATTTTCTTCATTAGCCTATATTTTTGCTGACGTCCTCTGATAACAATGATGTTTTCTCCCAGATGTCGACGAATGTGGTAGTGATCCTTGCATGAACGGTGCTACTTGCGTCGATGGTGTTAATGAAGTTTCGTGTACCTGTGCTGCAGGATATTCAGGAGTTGTTTGCGAGATTGGTAACTCCTTTCATGTTTGCACAATGCTACTTTTGAAAGCTATGTGATATAACTCTTCACAGGAGAATTGAGACAAGAAATGTTTTTGGCATTTTCCGATAGATATCAACGAGTGTAACAGTAATCCTTGTCAAAATGGTGTCTGTGTTGAGGGTGTCGGCAGTTTCACCTGTGAATGCTCTACTGGATACGAGGGGGCAACCTGCGAAACAAGTGAGTTTTTCTTCATGCCAGAGCCATTTTATCCCTCTCGTGTGCCACTATATTCTCCGTACATTTAACACTGTACCTTCACTGGCTCAATTCAGGACACATTTTCATTGGCTTCCTCCTGGGAATACATTTTACACGTATTCCTCTCCTTTAGATATTGACGAGTGTGTCAGTAATCCATGCCAGAATGGTGCTACTTGCGTTGATGGTATCAATGAGGTCTCGTGCACTTGCCCTGAAGGCTTCACCGGGTCTGTCTGCGAAACAGGTACAAACTTGACACTTGTCGCATCCCCACTCTTAAGTAGGAATCTTTAAGTGTCTGATAATTGCCTCTCCTGCGGCTCGGGCACAAATCGCGTCCAATTAGTTCAGTAGTTCATTAGGTCAGTTCCTTTACAATTTTTTGTACAAGAGAAATGGATACCCATAGGCCATGGTATGACTGATCTACAAACAATAACTGGATATATCAAGAAAAACATTCTGCAATGAATTTTCCGTTGTTTACCCTTGTCTTTAGCTGTTACAAGGATCGATAGATGCACCACTAATCCATGCAAGAATGGCATCTGTATTGCCTACGGTGTCGATGGATTCAAGTGTGCATGCGCTCCGGGTTACCAAGGCACAGTATGTGAGATCAGTAAGTCGTCAATTTGTGTTTTGCTGAGGATTTTGTTGCATGCGCCCAGTACATCCAGATACTATAATAAACTATATTTCCCTATAACCTGTAAACGGTGTAATAAAGCACGAATACAGAACCTTTCTTATTTCCAACTGACCAATCCTAGATATTGACGAGTGTTCCAGCAATCCATGCCAGAATGATGCCAAGTGTGTGGACGGTATTAACAAGGTGTCGTGCATCTGTGCACCGGGCTTTTCTGGAGAGCTTTGCCAAAATGGTAAGTTTCTTTAGTCTGTGCATATTAGGAAGTCGGCGAGAAACATAACAAGGAATGAGAGACAGGAACGGAGGCATGCCGTTAGCTTTAAATTTGTCAAATATAGTCACTTCCAAGAGAAATCACTTAGAGACGTGTTTGATAAGCAGATTCAGTATTGTGAGTTTACAAGGATGAAAAGGCAGTTTGGAGCTACGCCCGTATACTGCCTTGTTTGAACTTTGATTTTTTTCTCTATCATTTTTACATACAACGGACTTCAAAACCTAAAGGTCACTTGCGTGCAGCGTGATCCTTTACTTGTGTTATTAGTTATAATGAAATGCAGACGTCATGTTGATGTTTCCTATTATCACAGAACATGCCAACGGACCGCCTGATAATATGCCTCAGCTGCCCCAAGGCCTGTCTCCGGCAGGTATAATCACTGTCTGTGTTCGTTTTGAATTCAAACATGTCTAGGCGTCAGCTGGAGTTACAATGGTCAAAACGACCCACAAGGTGTCACAGTTTTTGTTTTAATTAGCATAATATCTTCTCACTCGTAATGCACTGAACTGGAGCAGGTAAGCTCAACAGAGACATGGCAAAAATGATCAATTTATCATTAACAAATGTATAACCAGTTGATGATCGTATTTGAAGTTCAAATATAAACCTGTACTTATTTTCAGGTGTTGGAGTTGAAATACAAACATCTTACATGCAAATGAACCTTGTCACTGAGTACTGCGTTAAGAAAGTTGTCGTTCACAAGAGTGGAGATTGCACCAGTAAGTATTATTTGTAATTGAAGGGGATTATATAATTGAATTACTGAAAAAACGTAAATAACAATACTCAAACTTACTTCTGATCAAATAGATTTTTTCTGAATTCCTACAAAAGCAGAAAGATGAAACAGAAATAATATTTGTTTGTTCCCATACGTGCAAAGAGGAGAAAAACAGGAAAGGTGACGTTTGGCCTTTTTACTGTTATACTGTAATACTTAAGACGAAGACGATAAGACGAAGCAATGAATAGTATCAGGTACTTAATGGTGAATCACAGTTTTAATGTGGAATAAGGACATTTCTTTCAGCGTGGAAGGCGAAAATGGATCCGAACTACCTTCTAGCACAACAAATTAAAAATATCTAATATGTTAGCAGTTGTATTTTCAAAAATTAAAGTAAATGTAAATGTCATTTCATAGCTATTTCTTTTCGTTTGTAGTCCCTAAATATTTGTCATCGAGGAAAAACATCGTAATACCTTGATATTTGAGACAGGGCTGTTGTAATCGAAGTTTGGGAGTTCACTGTAGGAGTTCACTTTAAGCGCCAGGTCGACAATGAATGAAATTCTCCTGATAACACTGCCAGGAAATAGATTTTTCATAGAATTACTTTTTGTGTATCTCTTTACTCTTCTTCCATGTGTGAAGACTGTTTGAACTGAACGGTGCACTTTTTCAAACATTAAAACTTGGCCAAGCATTTCTGGACAAGTGAGGCAGCTTTTGCTCTGATGTAAATACCTGAAAACATGGTTCAGGTTGCATGTTTTCATGTTACAATTGTGAATCCCAAAGTTGCCATCTAAGAACAAGTTTTCTGTGAAAAGAATTTTTCCTGGATTATTGCCATATACTTACACAGCAACAAATTGCCAAAGAAAATAAAATCTTCCATAGCCTTGGTTAAAAAAATCTAGAAACTTTCTGTGCACAGATCAGTGCAACAATGAGATTCGGCACCTTGGATGACATCATAGTTCTGCTCATGAATATGCAAATATGCATTAACATAAAAACAAAAAAATACCAAAATATGGGTTAAAATTGCAAAACAAAAATTTTAAAATAAGGTGAATCGAAACCCACAGAAGCAGTTGTGAGCGTTTTTAGTAAAATTTATAAAAATGTTTCCATTTCCTGGTTCCTTTAAATTAGTGTTTTGCCGCTTCAGGACACAAGCCATCATAGCTTTGCCTCTGTTCCTTTAATTCCCTTTTCTCAACAGGCAACCGTCTGACCGGTGCTGTAGTCCGTGGTGGGACCAGCTCTACCAGTCTAAACAACAGTGTGTGCGGCACTCCCCTGACCGCCCAACAAGCTGAAATTCGTAGGTCTACCGTAGATTTTGTCTGTGACCCTCCCATGACAGCCAAGTTTGTCACTGTGGACATCCCACTGTTGAGAGTCAGTCAAAAACCGCTGTGTGAAGTCACGATTGAGCAGGCAACGCCTGGACCTTGTTAGAATTCAACTAGTCTTGACAAACATGACTAGCTAAAGATTGGAGGATCATTTAATGTTTGTTTACCCACCGGTAGGTCTTAAATATCAAACGCAGTGCCCCAAATACTAGATTGTTTTCATTTGGCGTGTTTATTACTATCGGCACATTTAGCGTTAAAGTTTTTAGTTCCGTAGGTTAGGTTATCCTGTAGTTAACCAATAGATTAAACATGACAGTGTTAACTTGCTTATCGTTAGTTGCTCTGGCCTACTAATTGCATGAATATTTCATATAATTTTGATTTTTTATTTACATGAGTAACGGAGAATTGTCAGCAGAAGATAGACCCGTTTTGGTTTTCTGTAATTGTTGCAGGGTCGGTAGCCTATATATATTCGAATCTATTACAAGTTCCTGCAAGTCCATCACAAGTCGTTCAGTCTGAAGCCAGTTCAAAAGCTTTTCAAATGAGCTGCGACAAAAGCATTCTTTTTTCACTATTCACCCTGTTACTTATGACTGGCCTTAAGAAGGGACTTGTGAAAGGACTTGTGATAGACTTGAGTACGTCACTTCTTTGTAGTGCATTCGTGCTGCTCTTTCTTATTCGTAGGCATCGGTGTAGGGAAAACTGTCAATATAAACGTTATCTGCTGTAGTACCTCATCAGGTAGCCATCTTCAATGAAAAGAACGTATTTCGTGATGTCAAGAATGCATGCTTATTTGAAACTACTTCCCCAAAGTAGGTATCTATGAGTACGAGGAGAATGGTAATGTTTGATGTATGAGCTTAGCCAAAAGGCATAATTTCTGATGTAATACGTTTTGGTTCCCATTACATGTGCATTCTTTTAAGCTCAATTACCTGAGCTATGTTACTGCATGGCATACAATATTCCCAGCGTGATCGTTTTTCATTTACTTTGCTCTTCGTAGCTCCTTATTTGAGTCGTACAATCATTGTAAATCTCCAAATTTCTGAGCCAATCTGTGGAGCGGTAAGAACCCACAGCTGTAGATTCGTAAAACTATTCGACATTGTTTGTAGTAGTGCGATGTCGATTTCAATATGATTTTATGTACACTCTAGAGAGTTAGGGTTAACGACGGTCAGAAAGACTTGGAAAGACTAGACGCTTTACCGTCAAAAAATGAATAACTTTACCTTTTTAGGAGACACGCGGCCCGTGGACGCGCATGCTAATACTTGGAAGGCACAATAAAAGCCGTTCTTCAGGGATTATCTTGATACAAAGTAGTACTGAGAAAAACGTGGAACTTTTGTCTGTGACGCTAGTGGTGAGAAGCTATTTAAACACGCCAATATTATGTGAATGTTGACAACAGCACTCGGAAATAATGGGTCCAGAAATGTTCCGCCAATTTTGCAATTTGGGAGAAATGTTTTTATCACGTGACCATGGTTACTATTACCGTTACTAAAGACCTCTTAAAACAGTCGGGACTGTATTGTCTGGGAGCTAGACTGTTTCGTGCATCAGTTCAACCTCAGCAGTGACATTATTTCATCTCGTCGCTGTCCACCATTCAAGTCTGTATGACATTTAGCACTGAAAGTGGCTTTTATTTTTATTCAGAGTGTAATTTTGATTATTAGATGTTGGAGACAAAGAAAGGGGTAGCTTTCCTGGAAGCCTTCCCAAATGGGTTCTAGCCATATGAAGACAGAGACATGTAGCAGGACGTTTTCATTATTAGCATATCTAAATTGATTATTGAGTTCATTAACAGAATTTACTGATTTTTTTATCATGGAAGTTAGTGGGTATAACTTTGTTGGGTTTATTGGGTTTGTTTGATTTTAGCAATAAAAACAGACGCAGAAGAATCGATGACATTATTGTCTTAGATTTTGTATTTGCAAATGATGTGTGTCTGCTTTGTTCTGTTTTGAAATCTAAATCAGTCTTTGCCAGGTGAAGTCTCCACGTTCAGAGTTTTGTCAGTCTTTTCTCGATACAAAAAAATAAAGACATACTCGGCCTTTGAGTAACAGCTTTGACAACTTTAGCCTTTTGACTGATGGGGGGTTTGTGTCCACATTCCATGAGTTGAAAACGTAATAAAGCAATGTTAGTAGAATGGTCTATAAAACCCAACCTTCTATCATACAGTTGAAAAGCAAATGTGACAATAATCTCTGATATTGGCAGGAGTGATTGAGTAGGCTGCAGATTTCCAGGGCTTCGAATTGCAGAAAGAGCATTGCCATCCTCTCTTTGTTTACCCGGATGAGGCCATTGAACTCTATTGAATTTTTTTAATTTTTGAACGCTAAGAATGGATGGCTTTGGGGAACTGCGTTATGCTTTAAATACTATGATTAAAAACAAGAATGCATAGTGACAAAGGAAGCCAAGGGTTGCCAAACAGTAAATCCCTTTGGCAACGTTTTTCAACAAGAAATTTGGTTGTGGCTCAGGCCTATCCAAGTTTTTCTACTCTTGAGTGTAAACGAGCATACGTAAGAATTCCATGGTGTCTAGAACATGGGATTTCAATTGTAAGCCTCGCGGAAAGGAATCTCAACTTTTAGAGTTGAAAGACGCCTGGTAATTGTTCGTGCGGCCAATCAGCGACTCTGACTTCACAATTTGTGAAGTACAGCGCTTGTGGTTGCTTTCCAGTGCGGTCACATTTGAGACAAATGACACAATTCTCTGACAACATGTGCTGCTGTAATCATTGCTGACCAATGAAAAGTACAAGTTGACAAGCAATTGGTGCAGCAAGAATGGTGCGTCTTTTCCTTCTGGTAGTGGCGTTGGGCTAGCCAATTTTGGCAGTACAGCAAGCGGATGGACCAGTAAGACTACCGCTAAGATTTATAATACGTTTTTCTTGTTGAAATTCTTGTCCAACAACAGCATGGAACTCCAACTTCTTTGAGTTTTAAATACAGACCATTCCAGACACAAATAATAGAGATAAACAGATCTGGTATGTGCACAAATGTGTTGTGCGCGCTAATTCACACTTCGTTTATCCACTTTTACCATGTTTTAACCAAATAGCTATGTTTATATCAGGCTCTGTCGTTTTAACTTAAAGAACAGGCAAATATGCCTTCGTTGTAATGTCGTCGACATTAAAACAGCAATTTCTCTAATTTTAAATGGTGTGTTCTCAATATTTTCTGTTTTACTCTATGGTGTTTCGATAATTACATGTGTTGATCAATATAACTTGATCTATATCGACTAGTTTTAATTACGATTGTGAATGTGGTAAATGGATTCTTCCTTGGTTTAACATCTAACGTATCTAAAAACAAGCCGGGTATTTTTATAATAAAGTTAACTATCATTAAAATATATCTTTCTTTCTCTATCTTTTCTTTCTAGTGCGAGAGTAGAAACTCAAAGCTCTTACTTGCAAGTGGACCTTGTCACTGAATACTGCGTCAAGAAAGTTATCGTCCATAAAAGTGGCGACTGCACTGGTGCGTGGTAGTTGTAAATTTGTAATTGCCTTAATTAAATGCAAAAATGATAGGCAAAATAAGAACACAATGCAACTTTCTTAAATTTGGACTTTGTCAAAAATCCTTACTATAATCTGATTACTTTCTGGCAGGTGACTTTCTGATCGGTGCTGTAGTCCGTGGTGAGACCAGCTCTACCAGTCTAACCAACAGCGGTGTATGCGGAACCCCCCCCCCGACCGCCCAGCTAGCTGAAGTTCGTAGGTCTACCGTAGACTTCGTCTGTGACCCTCCCATGACGGCCAAGTTTGTCACCGTGGACATCCCACTGCTGAGGCTTACCCAGCAGCCGCTGTGTGAAGTAACGATAGAGCAAGCCACTCCAGGACCTTGCTAAACGTCCACAAATCCGAAGAACGCCAATAGTTCAAAACGACAAAAATGATTCATTTTAGACAACTAAAACAGCTACAGTGTAACAGTGATTAATTTCAGAGATCTTTTCATTTTTTGTGGGGTTAGGACCTATTAATGGCAATTATAATAGGCTGCAGATATTTCTGTGGAAATAGCATCAAACATGTTTAATTTTGAACCTATTGGCATTTCCTGATTGTTTTTGGTAAGAAACAATTTTAAAGAGACTTTGAGTTGTTAAACATATTTCACTTCTGTGTTAGCTGTGGCTGGACTAATAAATGCAGCACAGCCTCGTTTATAATCTTAGCTTTTTGAATATGTTTATGAAGCTTTCTCATATACATTTTCTGTTACTTTGAAAATTTACTCTCGACCATGCCTCTAATCATTCCATCAGCATGATGGAGGTGGCATTGTTACAGTGTCCAATTGGCTACAACAGGCATCAATACATTTGTTAAATGGGAAGTGCATTCGACGGCAAGGCAACAACCACGATAACCTCAAAACATCGGATCTGCAATATATGTACGAAATGTTAGGCTTCAACCTGCTAGCTTGATGTATACACGTGAAAGCCATAGCCACGCTGCTTGCTTCACTGGACGTCTGAAGTCCTCGCTACATTCAACATGCAGCCGGTATTTATGTGTAAGATAGTTTTATCACGACTTTTTCACGACTTTAAAACTAGCAACAGAAATGAATGTTCCAAAAGAATTCAGCCCATCCAAACATTAACTCTCGAATAACGTAAATGGACGGCTCCATGTTGCATGCTGCTTGCAAACTACCAGCAATAATCGGTTGTCTGTTCCCAGCGTTCGAGTGGCCAACACCACGAACAACAAATCGAGCAATTCGTAAACATACGAGAACAAGTCGCCCGAACTCTGCCTTGTGGCTGGTTTATCCATCAACACTCCTTCAATCAATACACCAGCAGAAGGTGCTGTTGACGGGGAGAATGTGTAACTATAAGTGACTGGGCTTCGCCCAGAGCAGCGAACACTACCATTAACTGTGGGCATCCAATGCCGAATCAGGGACTTGAGCAAGTCTATGGAGCTATGGTCAGGGTTGCACTACACGCAACTCCTGTAACGACAGCAACCCGCTCTGTAGCTCCTATCGGGAACTATGCTGCACCACATTCGCCCCTCAA